GGAGGGAGGGAAGGAGGAAAGAAGGGGGGAAAGGAAAGAAGGAAGGAAAGAAGGAAGGGAGGAAGGAAGAAAGGAAGGAAAGAAAGAAAGAAGAAAGGAGGGATGGAGAAAAAAAGAAAGAGGGGGAAGGAAAGAAGGAAGGAAGGAGGAGAAAAAAAGAAGGAAGGAAGAGGGGAAGGAAGGAAGGAAGGAAGGAAAGAAGGAGAAAAAATGGAGGAAGGGAAGGGGAGAAGAAAAGAAGGGAGGGAAGGAAGGAAGGAAAGGAGGAGAAGGAACGCAGGAGGGAGAAGGGAGGAAAAGAAATGGAGGATGGGAAGGAGGATAAGAAAGGAAGGGAGGGAAGGAAGGAAGGAAGGAAGGAAAGAAGGAAGGAAAAGGAGGGAGGGAGGGAGGGAGGCTCAGGGTTTATTTGTTGATTTATTCAGAGAGACTGGAAATTGTTTGTTTGTTTAGAGAGGCTCTGGGTTTATTCCATCATTTATTTATTTAACTCTGACACAAAGGAGTCATATAGCATCCATGGAGACTTAACTGAGAAGAAATGTCTAGAAAACCCGGACTTCAGTCCAATAAAGTGGAGTCCCCAAAAGCTTACGCTAAAAATATCAGTCTCAAAAGGTGCTGCAGAATTCTTTGAAAACATTTCCAGGGATAGTCATGTTGTCCATATAGCAAAACACAAGAACATCCCAAATTCACAAAACACGAATACCTTTGTTGAGCCAACCAAAATGTACACTATACATGTTGCAAGCTTTGAGAGCTTGTTTTGTACATTTTGGATGTTATTGTACAGAATTCCTTGTCATCTTTTTCTTATTAAAATAGCATTTTCTTATTTTAAAAAAAACTTGATAGGTTTGTCTTGCGGTTGTCATAAGTCGGAAACAACTTGAAGACGCACAACAACCGCAACAGATACAGCCTTAGCCCAAATTCTTGGCATCAGAGAGAAAAGGCCTAGCAGAGGGGTTCAAATCATGTCACCTTCCAGATGTTGCTGAACTCTAACTCCCAGCATTTCTTACCAGTGGCCTTACTGGCTAGGGCTGATGGGTGCTGCAGTCTAACAGCATCTGGAAGGCCACATGTTTCCCATCCTGGGTTAGTATAAAAATACTGAATTGCAGCACCTATGAGAAATAGAGATGCAACAATCTACAGGACCAAAGCCTCCTTGCAACCACACCTCTCCCTCTTGCAAATGCTTGGGTTGTTTGTTTTTCCCCAGTATCTTTCCAGGACTGGTGCCAATGGCAATGCCCTCTCTTGTCCCTCTTTCACTGACAATGTAGGGAGCCAGATGCCTAACCATGCAACCTCATATTTCATGTCTTGTTGAGTTTGGCCCTAAGCTGTCAAACAAAAACAAAAAACAGCAGTGGTTTCTGAGGTCCAAAACACACTGCAGAAATAATCCAGTCTGAGACGGCTTTAACTGCCCTGGCTCAATGGTAGGGAATCCTGGGAAGTGTAGTTTTGGGAGACCTTTAAGCCTTCTCTGTCAGAGAGCTCTGGTGCCACAATATACTACAATTCCCAGGATTCCCTATCACTGAGCCAGGGCAGTTAAAGCCGTCTCAAACTGGATTATTTCTGCAATGTGTTTTGGACCTTAGTCACTTATTTATTTATTTATTTATTTATTTATTTATTTATTTATTTATTTATTTTGTACACGGCCTTTCTCCCAATAGGAGCTCACAGATGAAACCATTTTAAAATCTCAGTAAAATTCAAAACAATTACAAATATAAAATCACATAAAAATATACAAAAGTGACAAGCATAACTAAAACCCACCTGCTCCATAAAAACCACCTGGATATGAATTATGTACCAAATACCTGCTTAAATAAAAACCATCTTGTCTCTCTCACCAGTCCTAACAAAACACATACACTTCCTTCTTTTCTTCTCCTCCTTCCCTTCCTCCATTTCTTCTCCTTTCTCTTTCCTTCCTTCCTTCCTTCCTTCTCTTCTCCTCCTTTCCTTCCTTCCTTCCCTCCTTCTTAAATATTGAGCAGCCCAAATTTCCCCAAATGTCAACTTTAAAGGAAGGCTGCAGTCAGGCAGAGCCCTTGTATAGTTAATCTCAAAAGTTTGGAACCGGCTTGACAACTCTGGTCATAAGCCAAGTTTTTATTTTTGCTTTGTTTTTCCTGAAGGTGCACCTTCAACTTTCGTTCAGGCAATGGGAAAGTGCCAGGTGATTTGTAACAGTTACCTATTAGGAAGCCACATGGATTGCAAAAGTGGCACGCTACTACTCTCTTGTACACTCTAAATAGTAATTACTTTGAGGATTTGTATTGAAATTCATAAAGCAAGGAGTTCCCTTCCCACACCCAATAATTATAGCGTAAGTCGAACTCACCTCCGTCTTTCAGGGAAAGTAAAGAAAGGCAGGTGTGGGAATGTAGGTGACATTCGCTCACGGATTTCTACGGAAAAGGAGGCCTGTTGAAGTGAATGCACTCACAGTTTTTCTTTATCAGGACAGCTGAAATATTAATAATAGTAACAACAACAACGTGGCAATTGTGACATATATGCATTCAGGTTATACACTGTTACCCACAGACAATATTTAATAATACCAGGGTGGCGTAGGGGTTTGATTGTTGGACTACGACTCTGGAGACCAGA